AGAGGCCACTTAGAAAAACAGAACGTCGCTGTGAGGGCAATATTAAAGTGGATATTAATAAAAACGTTTTTGGGAATGTGGACTGAATGAAGGTTACACCTAGTAGTGACCTTGTGTGAGGACGGTTTTATGTTTCAGGGGATTGCAAAACGTTTCAGATAGCCTAAATTATATACGAGGTGCGATCGGAAAGTTTAAAGACTGCGCCTATAAAAACTCGTACACTTATCTCAGGTATTAAATTCATCCATCACCCTCGAAGTAGTTCCCCTGGGAGTGAACACAACGATCCCAGCGCCGCTGCCAAGCCTGGAAGCATCCCTGGAAATCTTTCTTGGTCAGCCTGTCAAGCACCATCTGCGATTCTGCCTGAATCTCTTCTATCGTCTCAAATCTCATTCCCTTTAGCTGAATTTTCATCTTTGGGAAGAGGAAGAAGTCACACGGAGCTAAATCCGGCGAATAAGGAGGGTGCAGGATGACGGCCATGGTGTTTGAGGCCAAAAACTGCCGAACTTTGAAGGCGGTGTGCGCTGGTGCGTTGTCATGATGCGTCGCATGTGGAGTTCTTCCTTTAGAATCAGCGGACAGGTCCCATAGCCTATCCCAACAATGTCGCACAAGTCGTTGATGGTACGACGTCGATCTTCGTGAATGGCCTGCCGAATCTTCCTAACATTTTCGGGCGTTGTGCTCGAAGATGGTCGTCCAGAACGCTCGTCATCATCGCCAGAGGTTCGGCCATTTTTAAAACGTGAATGCCACACAAACGTTTGTGCACGACCCATTGCGGACTCCCCAAATGCTTGCTTTAGCATTTCATAGGTTTCCTTAGCCGTTTTGGCGAGTCTTTGGCAAAATTTGATGCAGACGCCATTCCGAAATCGCAGGAGGGTCGGTGTAATGCACTACCAAAACGCCCGTAACTAAGAAACAAATGCTAATTCGATGATGCCGGCTGGCACACTGATTCACTATGAATGTAGGCCGCACCCCCTAGCGGCAGAAGCTAGTACTACATCCGATTCGCCCTCTATTGACACAGTCTAGAAACTTTCCGATCGCACCTCGTACACCAATGGAATTAATATGTTATATTGTGACACTTTTACACATACAATGTATTGCTTGTACGAAAGAGACGCTTTCTCAGCTATATGTTATGGACTTATGGCGTCGACTGTTGGGGCGATTACGAATCATGAAATGTGTTGCATCCCACAGCAGCCGTTTCGGTCGGTGAAATGAGGGTACGTAGTTCGTTCAGTGGAAAATATCTTATATTGCTCCAAGTCTCAACCTTCGTTCTATATACCAAGGTGCATGGGCCAGCAGCTTCAGTGGTTCACGTGCCAATATCATATTTCAAACCTCCAACATAACATCTAATAATTGTATAAAACGCGCCTTTCCTGGATTTAACAAATGGAGACGACGTGAAAGGAGTCGGTTTTAGCCTTTTCTGAGGAACTTTCCCAGAAATGACCTGTATTGGTTGAAGAAATTAACTGAGAAATTAGTCAGGATGGTCAGTAACCAGGCCCAGATTCGAACCCAGATTTCCCTAACGCGAAGTAGAATTACTAACATCTCGATCAAACTGGTTTTCATGAGCTTGTACTTAATGCATAGACGTAACCTTAGTTTCCGAGGAAATGTTAAATTTCCTACAGAAAAAAGTTTACTAACGTTTTCACTCCGAATAGTGATTTCTTCCCTCTAGAGAACAGTTTAAAACATCTATTAATGAATCCCATAATGATGGTGATGATGGCAACAGCAGCAGCAGCGTTAATTCAAACGTTTTACTTCGTAAACTAGCCACCGTAGCTACAGGATAATAATCTTAAGTTTACTTCCGCTTTCGATATTTGACAATCAGACGCTCTGCCCTCGGAAGGAGGTTGGTGCTTCGCAAATAAGAAAATAAGATAGTTGCTATTAAGAAGGCGCCATTGTAAACATTTTGCTTTTGATTTGTGAGGACTTGCTTCATTCGGTGCTATGTAGTTTTGTTCTAAGTTATCACCAATTCTGGGAGCGTGTTTTACAATAAAACATACTCTTCTACGAGCGGAAATATTTGTAGAACAGACTGTAGTGAACGGGATGTAGTTCGAAAGCGGATCTAAAATGACTTCCTATACTTAAAATAGACAAGAAGGCGGATAAATATAAGGAACTATAAAAAAAAGACTGGAAGGTAGCAAAGTACATATATCATAAAGTTTAGAGCCACACATTAGACTGTATGCACAACCTAAATGTACCTAAACTGATACTTACGGGAAGGTTATGTTGCATTATCAAGCGAGAAGAATTTTTAGTAGCGAAGTATTCTGGAATTTTTTTTGGAAAGAATCCTGTGTTCTAAGAAATTCTATTTACAAATAGATATTTTAGTACGCATGTATATTTAAAGAATTGTTTTAAATATTACCGACGCTAAATTCTTTCTGCGGGGCTGCTCCTGGGTAGAGCTAAACGACTAACGTTTTTCAAAGAACACAACAC